TATTTTCACAGACGAGTCTGGTACCAATTAACCGACCCCGGAGGGATGGAAGGCTTGGTTGGTCTAGGCGAATAACAACCCGAGATTCGAACCCGTGACCAGGCGCGTGTGAAGTGCGATTCTTGCCACTTCACCACTTCCGCCACTAATTCCGCTTAAAGTGGACATTTTGAAATCTGAACGCAGCTTATTGTCGGTATTGTAAGCACAGGCGTATTCAGATTCCACTGATATTTTCAGCTGATAAGTTTTAAACAGAGTACATTTAATTAGTGCTCATAATTTTAGGCTACATTGTACATCGCCTTGCCACTGCAAGTCATTTTATAGACCACATACGCATTCAATACGGCATTAAAATTCTGAATAGAACTCGAACGCTAGCGGTTCCCAAAAGTGGGACCTGTTGAACTTACAATAACTCAAGAGGTAAAACTTATAAATAAAGTTTTACAAGCATGCCTGTTTCAGCATGTGCCTGCACATTCAACATCTACTATTCTGGGTTGGCTGTCGTAGTCTTCAAATGGGTTTAAAGCATTTTACGACTGCTTTTCGGCTTTTGGAGCTCAGGGCCCATTATCTGAGGTCTCATGTCGATTTTGAAGCTTTATCACAGAGTTTGTAACAATTTGGGCGGAGGTGATGTAGTGGCAAGTGACGCACTCTATCGCACGCACGGTCAGGGGTTCGAATCTTGGATCGATGCCCGCCTAGACCAACCAAGCCCTCCATCCCTCCGGGGTCGGTTAATTGGTACCAGACTCGTCTGGAAGGATAAATGCACTGACTTGTACATGGGCTGGCCACTGCAAGTCATTGTATAGACCATATACGCATCCATTACTCCTCCTGATTCTGAATGGAAGTCAAATGCGTGGGCGCATCCTTCAGACGGGTGTATTAGCGCCCCAAGAGTCATCCTCTAGCCTTTTCATCACTGAACTCTTGGGTTTCGTACACTTAGGTTAAGGCTTTTCAGTGGTACCGTTAATGGCGAAAATTTGCAAGCTGCACCGACAACGGAGACGACTAAACTGGGCGACTATGTTCAACTGAATCTTCAGCAAACCTACCTCATTTCTCTCGGCCGTCTTTGTTTTTCGCTTTTCTGGAACTTTCCGCAGATGCCCCTCTGCAAAACCATTCTTCTTTTTGCAAGGTTTTTTTGCACGCTGTTTGCGTTTTATCACATTGTTGTCCAGACAACCACACCCATTTATTTTATATGATCACCCACTATAATGAATATCTTTAATCAAGCGTACATCATTTTTGTCTTCAGCACTTCTTCTCCTTCTCTGTGGTGTTTATATTGCGCCGTCACATGACCCACTGTTTTGTCAGCTATCTTTACTTTCTTCTATGCACAGCATTTCTTCCACCATAACTTCGACTTCGGCGACGTCCTCCTTGATCAGGTCCGGTTATCGCTTTGTTGGAACTCCTCTCAGTCGCTTCTCCCGAGCTTCAAATCCAATTGCACCTCTTACAGGGCCATCAGGTGAAAAAAGGCGATGGAGGTACCTTTTCAATACGTACCCATACAATCGAAGTCACTGCTCTCTTACTTTAGTTG